TTGGAGGGGCTGGATCCCACCCTGACATCCTGAGAGGGGTTTGGAGGGGCTGGATCCCACCCTGCTCCCTCCAGAGGGATTAAATCCCACCCTGCTTCCCCTTTTTGGGGGTTTGGAGGGGCTGGATCCCACCCTGCTCCTTAGGAAGGTGATGGATCCCACCCTGCTCCCTCCAGAGGGATTAAATCCCATCCTGCTCCCCTTTTTTGGGGGTTTGGAGGGGCTGGATCCCATCCTGATCCCTATGGAGGGGCTGGATCCCATCCTGCTCCCCTTTTTTGGGGATTTGGAGGGGCTGGATCCCACCCTGCTCCCTCCAGAGGGATTAAATCCCATCCTGCTCCCCTTTTTTGGGGTTTGGAAGAGCTGGATCCCATCCTGATCCCTATGGAGGGGCTGGATCCCACCCTGCTCCCCTTTTTTGGGGATTTGGAAGAGCTGGATCCCATCCTGATCCCTATGGAGGGGAAGGTGCTGGATCCCACCCCGCTCCTTATGGAAGGCTTCAATCCCACCCTGCTCCCGATTTTTTTGGGATTTGGAAGGGCCGGATCCCACCNGCTCCTTATGGAAGGCTTCAATCCCACCCTGCTCCCGATTTTTTTGGGATTTGGAAGGGCCGGATCCCACCCCGCTCCTTAGGAAGGGGTTTGGGAAGTTCTGGATCTGGGATCTGGGGTGGGGGGGGGGTTTGAAATCCCACCCCTCTCCCTGGGAAAGGTGATGGGAAGGGCTGGATGGAAAAGCTCGGGATCGGGGCCGGGCTGGATCCCGTGGGATGCGGGCGGCGTTTTCCCGGAGATGGAAGGAGCCGGGAAAAGGGGAGAGAGCAGACAGGGATGGAGAGGATGAGGAGGAGGAGGAGGAGGATGAGGATGAGGAGGAAGAGCGGGGGCTGCAGCGGGATGCGCAACGCCGGAATTCGGGGCGGGGATCCCGACAGCCAAATCCGCTGGTTTTGGGAAGGTGGAAGGAGGCAGAATTCCCCGGGATTCATTTTATTTCCCGAATACAGCAGAGCCGCCGGTTTGGGATTTTTTAAATATTTTTTCCCACCACCTCTCCCT